GGAGAGGAAAGGGAGAGGAGAGAGGGAGAGAGGGAGAGGAGAGAAGAGGGAGAGGAGAGAAGAGGGAGAGGAGAGAGAGAGGAGAGGAGAGGAGAGGAGAGGAGAGGAGAGGAGAGGAGAGGAGAGGGAGAGGAGAGGGAGAGGAGAGGAGAGGAGAGGAGAGGAGAGGAGAGGAGAGGAGGGGGAGAGGGAGAGGGAGAGGGAGAGGGAGAGGGAGAGGGAGAGGGAGAGGGAGAGGACTTGTTTTAACCGGACGCAGAAACTTTTTGCAAGTCCCAGTCCTTTCACTTTCACTCTCGATCAGTAACACCAGGGAATGGGAGAGAAGAAAGAGAGATGATGATAAGAGAGGAGGGGAGGGGAGGGGAGAGGAGGGGAGGGGGGAGGAGGGGAGGGGAGGGGAGAGGAGAGGAGAGGTGGGGTTAGGAGAGGAGAGGAGGAGAGGAGGAGAGGGGAGGAGAGGGGAGGGGAAAGGAGAGGAGAGGAGAGGAGGAGAGGGGAGGGGAGGGGAGAGGGAGGGGAGGGGAGAGGAGGGGAGAGGAGAGGAGAGGTGGGGTTAGGAGAGGAGAGGAGGAGAGGGGAGGAGAGGGGAGGGGAAAGGAGGGGAAAGGAGAGGAGGGGAGAGAGGGGGAGGGGAGGGGAGAGGAGGGGGGGAGAGGGGGTAAAGGAGGGGAGAGGAAGGGAAGGCAAGGGAGGGGAGATGAGATGAGAGGAGGGGAGGAGAGAGCTCTCTCTCCCTCTTTCTCTTTTTCCCTCTCTCCCTCCCCCTCCCCCTCTATCTTTTTCTCTCTTATTTTCATTCTCTCTCTTGCTCTCTCTCTCTCTTTCTCTCTTTCTCTCTTTCTCTCTTTCTCTCTTTCTCTCTTTCTCTCTCTCTCTCTCTCTCTCTCTCTCTCTCTCTGCTCTCTCTCTCTCCGCTCCCTCCCTCCCTCCCCCCCTCCCTCCCTCCCTCCCTCCCCCCCTCTCTCTCTGTCTCCCTCTCCCCCCTCCCCCCTCCCTCCCCCTCCCTCTCTCTCTCCCTCTCTTCCCCCTCTCTCTCTCTCCCTCCCTCCCTCTCCCTCTCCCTCCCTCCCCCCTCCCTCCCCACCTCTCTCCCTCTCCCCCCCTCTCTCTCTCTCCGTGCATGCATAACGTAATCCAGCGCGGCCGACCTTAGTTCTGTCACTGTTACCTCGAGGGTACAGAGAGAGATAAACAGATACAAAAAATAATGCCATAAATAGTAACTCTTGACTCTGAACGAGCGGAGATTGTACTAATTTGTGTTGAAAAGAATGAGAGAGGGAACGAGAGAGAGAGAGGGGAGAAAGAGAGGGTGAGGGAGAGAGAGAGGGAAAGAGAGTGGGAAAGGGAGAGGGAAAGCGTGTGAGTGAGGGAGAGATAGAGGGGAAGAGTGAGAGAGGGAGAGAGAGGGGAAGAGTGAGAGAGGGGAAGAGGGAAAGAAAGAAAGAAAGAAAGAAAGAAAGAAAGAAAGAAAGAAAGAAAGAAGAGAAGAGAAGAGAAGAGAAGAGAAGAGAAGAGAAGAGAAGAAACGTTACCTGTTGCTGTATTTTCGGTGGTGTTTGTACCAGCGTAGCATTTTTCCAATGTTTTTTTACCTAATAATTAGAAGAGAAATAATCAAGTCGGTTTGCAATAGCAATGCCTCAGTATCCCTTTAGGCAGTCGGCAGCACATTAGCCTTATCTTGACGATGAGTGAGGTAATATCTAAAGAACCATTACACTTGTATTCTGGAGTCATTCATCGTCATTCATGCCTGTCCTAAAGCTTCGTCATAGTGAAATGGCAAAGTTGCATGAATTTGCATAACTTAACGTTGTTCATACTGAGAGGTATATTGGGTAAAGTTACTGAAAATGAATTGTCACTCATTATTTTTTTTTCCCCGTGGGGATTTTATGCTTCGTGGGAATGTATGGGTTAGATAGTTGGGATTAGGAATGATGCCATGCGGTGGTTGGGTCATTTCCGTCTTGAATGGTATTCAGTCATGCAGCTTTTTGTTAGACTTTGAAGCGTATGCTCTTATTGTATTAAAAGAAATACGGAAATGAGACTTAATGATGATGATGATGATGATGATGATGGTGATGGTGATGATGATGATGATGATGATGATGGTGATGATGATGATGATGATGATGATGATGATGATGATGATGATGATGGTGATGGTGATGGTGATGGTGATGATGATGGTGATGGTGATGATGATGATGATGATGATGATGATGATGATGATGATGATGATGATGATGGTGATGGTGATGATGATGATGATGATGATGATGATGATGATGGTGATGATGATGATGATGATGATGATGATGATGATGATGGTGATGGTGATGATGATGATGATGATGATGATGATGATGATGATGGTGATGGTGATGATGATGATGATGATGATGGTGATGATGATGATGATGATGATGATGATGATGATGATGATGATGATGATGATGATGATGATGATGATGATGATGATGATGAT